CCCCCAAAACCCCAAAACCCCATAAGTTTATCATTTAGAGATATCGGCTAATATCTTAACTTAAAAGATTAAAATTTCAAAAATAATTTGTATAGCTATATAATTCATTAATAAAATATCTTTACCTTATAATTCTTATAATATAATCGTTATATCATTGAATATTCTGAAATACTGAAGTTCTCTTATTCTTTTCATTGGATTTTGAAAAGAAAAAGTTTTAAGTCTTGGTTTCACCATCACTGGATAACTCAAAATCTTATTATTCTCTTTGCAAACTTTAAACTGTAATAACCAACTAATCAATTTTACTTTGCTGCAAATCAATCTATTTCTTCATATTGCAAAATGTATCAAAAGTCAAAAGCTCCTATAATGTTTCATTTTCCAATCCATTTATCTTTTTCAACCTCTAACTTAACTTTTTGTTAAAGAAATATCTATTGAGAATAAACAGCATAGTAGATGTTAAGCCTAGTAAAGCAAGCATGGATCCTATTTGTTGAATACCGTCAGCGTAAGTCTTAGGTCTTACATTAAAAACATCAATGTTGTAATCTTAAAAGTTCATTATTATTGGGAAAAAATGTTTTATTCCTTTATGATCATCAATATATGGAGGCATCATATAATCTATTGTAGGATAAACTGTTTCTGTAAAGTCAGATTGTATACCAAATCTGCTATTAGAGTAATTTTAGATGAAGGATCTTAAAAATAGAGTGTTAACCTTACTAGCATCATCAAGATCTTCATACTTCTACTAAAAAAACTTTTTTTTAACAGAGATTTGTGGATAGTCAAAGCTGTATTGTTTAAGAAATAAATTCCATCTAGATACTTATATACCTCAAAAATATTCACTGCTCCAAAAACTTCCAGTATCACAGTAAATATTGATATAATTTGTAGAACTTATTGCAGAATCTGGAGAATCTTCACTAATCTTTTAAATATCCAATTTAAAGTTGATTTCGGATTCTCGTAGCTTGTCTGAATCTATTACTAGATCAGTAATATTACCTAAAAATAAAAGAGATTAATAAAAAAGAAACTTAGGGAACAATCTTATAAAGAAAACATACATTACATTGCCTAAAGTTTTTTACAATTATGTAAATCTGTAGGATCATCTTAGCATAAAAGTGCAATGCAATCGAAATAATAGCAGTTTTATCATATTAAAGGATCATCAAACACACTAAAATTAGCAGTCATGTTTTTGTTATTAGTGTATTCTACTATGAATTATATAATATTTTTATCATCAGGAAGAATATCCGTAAGAAGCTTTTGATAAGTAATTTACCCTCGATAAGCAGGAACTTTGTTCAAAGTTATTGAGGTTTAATGATTTTCGAATATTCCTACCATAATGTCCCAAGTTAGTTTTATTATTACTCCTAATACAACAATACTGATGAGGGTGCTTATAAAGCTAAATTAATCCTGCTATTTATTATGGAAGAAATATGTTCTATATTTTCCACAGGTTAAACCAGATATTATTCTTTTACAAAATTATCTAAACCTACCCATTAATATAAAATTAATTATAATAATTATACTAAAAATATCCCTAAATGAAACTTCCATCGCATTTCATAATTATAATTTATATCATTTTCTTCAAATTTAATCACATTTTCACTAAAATTTTCAAAAGTGGGGTTTTGGGGTTTTGGGGTTTTGGGGTTTTGGGG